TTATGCTCACATGATAAATAGTTACTAAATAACTACCTAAATTAGATTGACCTCAATCTCTAAGGGTCATAACTTTCAACAAAATCTTATTTTGCTTGTAAAGAAAAAAAAAGCAAGGTCCTAAAGCAGACACAATGCAGGTATTTTGGGGGGCCCCTCTCCAGATCTCAAGTCATTTTTAAAATGATTCATATGTAGAATCCCATCAGACACTTCCTCTAGTCAAGCCCTTTTTTTGCCAGTCAAGAATTTGTACCCACAGCAAGTATGGTGCCCACTGCTCTGTGAATTTACGTAGCTGTTTGTGACTTTACATTTTCTCAAGCACTATTTAGATCTCAGACTAAAAGTGGTTGAGAAGGTAATTTTCTCTTGTTATCTCCATGGAAAATGTTTTTTCTGGGGTTTTTCCTGGTTTGAAAAACACATACCAGGGTTTTATCATTGTGAGCTGTACTACACTCTGTCAACATTTCATGTAGTACCATTTGAAGCAGTGATTGATTTGAGTGTGAGGTAGATTCTCTAGAGCATGCCTGCTTGTTCACTAATAGATGCAGTGGGGATGTATGTGAACATGGTACTGTACATGTCTTTAAATTTAGGACTTCATGGAATGTCAACACTTCAGATAAACTAAATGTATCTTCAGAAGTACTTTTTCACCTAACCTATAAGTGAAAAGGAAAAGGAAAAGGCTTCTGACTTACATAATGGTTTTGTGGCTTTATTCTGTTTTGGATTTTCAAGTTTTGTTGTATGTTCCCCTGCTTTAGTGGAAAGTCCCAGAATGAGACCCAAACAGTCTACATTTGAACCAAGATTCTATCACTTATGAGCTGGTGACATGGGCAAAATAAATTCTCTAATTCTCATTCTTGTCATCCATGAAAAGGGGATATATTAATTACTAAATGCTCCTGATGAATCACAGTATTAATTTTTCCATTTCATTGATCAGTAATACAAAAGGGATTGTACTTATAATGTGTGCCTTGCAAACTTCCATCATTCCTGTTGTTACTCTGTTTTACTTCAAAATGACTGAAAAATAGCTTATTTTAGTATTCAAGAATAAATCTAAACCTCCTGAAATTCTATACTGATGATTGTTACAAAAATTTTAAAATTGTATTTCCAAAAGATGAAACCTTGTAGATGTGTGATTCCCTATAAAGTTAAACAAATACTGATTTAGGCAATAAAATCACACAGTGATTAGAATCTTTCCAAATGTTTGTTTTTAAAACACTCTCACCTTAGTCCAAGTTTCATCATAAGAAAATTACTGTCTCATTCATCACAAATAGACCAACAAAACTGGGGACTGGAGAGGCTGTTGAGCAACCTGAATCCACGTACATTGTTGATGGAAAAAGACATGGGCACAGGCTCTTCAAAACACCCCTAAATGCTTCAGGACACAGTAGTTGTAATGTGCGGTAAAAGCCCACCATAAATAAATATCAACAAGCAATACATGATAAGGCTGCTCATAATAGCCAAGCACTGGAGTCAAATGACAGAAGGAGAATGCTCATTCTCATCTTTGTACAACGCTAGATTTCTACAAATATGGTACAATCTCTTACTCAAAATACTTTTGACTATTTGAATACTTTAAATATTTTGAATAAAATGGCACTTGCCTTTAGGGGGCATGCTGGCTACTGGCAGGGGAGGCAGGAATGTCCATAGGGTGCTGGAGATGTTGGAGACCAGTATATAAAGCGTGGTTGCACAGACATATATCCAAACTATACACGGTTTATATATGAGCTGCGATTTAAGTATATGGTGAATGTTTGCATTTTTTAAAATTCATTACAATACAAGACACATTGCCTCAAAATACTCCCCCTCACTATAACACACTTAGCCTATCATTCTTGCCACTTTCTAGAGGGTTCCTTTGTGTCTATACAAACTGTGATCAAAAATTCAGTGAATGCTGCAGCTGAGTGCCTTCCAACAGAAAAACAAGCTCATAAAAATATTGTGGCGTATCTGAATCATCCTCTGTCTTACTCACTGCACCTGGCTCTGTGTGACTTCTGGCTCTTCCTCAAAGTCAAAATGACTACGAAAGATAAGCATTTTAAATCCGTTCAGGATCAACGCAGCCACACAGGGCAACAAAAGATACTCATGGAGGAGTACTTCCAGAACTGCTTCAGAAAGTAACATGAATGATGAGACATCTATAATTCATGAAGGTGGTGAGAGTTGTTTTGAAGGAGATTATTGGCTATGTGTCTTTTACTGTAATTTTTTTTAATTTAGACATTCACCATGTTTGTCAATGATGCCTCCTGTATATGTCAAAGTTCATTAAATTATGCCTTTTGGATTTTCATGCATAGTACTCATTTCACTACAAAATGTCTTGGGGCCCCTACCACACAGAGACCTTGTTTTCATAAAATTGCCCTCATTGTCTTACTGATGCTGGGGCAGTTAAACAATGATAGCACCCCCAGTTGTAGAGGCCTCTTCCTATAGGAGAGGAACCAAACCTGTAGTACCAAGCCTGACGCATAGCCGAGGCTGTATGACACAAATCAGGCAAAAAATCAATTATTAATTAAATTTAACATATCTCACCCTGGTGCAAATCAAGCTTAAGTAGAAAAAGGTCCTTTCCATTTCTTCTTAGTGAGCAATCTTGTCCCCTTCTTTTCCCCCTTCTTTTACCACTCTCAGTTCTGGAGATTTGTGTTAGGCAACAGTTGCTGGCTGTGATTGCCAGTGGGATATTTGCTGCACATGTTTCTAGAGGGCAAATGGATAGAGTAGATTTAGAGTGGATGTTGGCAACATTTTTCTATTAAAGGCCAAATAAACATTTTAGGCTTTGAGGGTCATATACTCTCTGTCAGTACTGCTCAGTACGGCCATGGTAGCATACAGTCATAGACAATACATTTAAAAAGTGGATGTATTTTAATAAAACTCTATTATAGACACTGAAGATGAATTCTGTATCATTTTCATGTCACAAAATGTTATGCTTTCTTTTTATTGAAGCATTTAAAAATGTAAAAGTCAAGCCAGGCATGGTGGTGCATGCCTGCAATCCCAGCACTCTGGGAGGCTGAGATGGGAAGATGACAAGTCTGAGCCCAGGCTGGGCAGCTTAGCAATTTAGCAGAACCCAGTCTCAAAATAAATAAGTCTACGAAGGGAGGCTAGGTGTGCAGCTCAGCCCAAATGCACTGGATTCCATCCCCAGTATACTTAATCAGTCAAATATAAAAATCATTCTTCACTTCAGCACCATTCAAAAACAGGAAATTGGTTCTCCAGACTTAGTTTTCAGAGCTCTAATTTACAATCCCATAACTCTAAGGGATAGTTAACCTCTGGAGGATCTCAGCCTTATGTTCCATATGAATGAATACAACACATCACTTCCAATAGATTGTCAAATTACAGGATGTGGTTAGAGGGTATCTTCATTTACTGTTCCTTTAAAAAAAATTAAATACCAAGTTTCACATCAAAGGTTTGTTCCTTCCCTGGCATGACTTTAACTCATAGAGCTTCTATAAAATAAGAAAAGTTTGCAAAAAATTCCACTTAGGTATTTGAAGCCTGGTTGTTGTTAGCTACAGTGTCAACAGGAATCAAAACTTTTTTTTTTCTCTGATGCTAGTTGTAATGTGATAAACGCTGTTTTAGAAAAACTTTATTTTGGAAACTTGAAAACAATGAAATAACTAAAACAGTGTAAAATACAATTGTTTGGAGCTCACTAACCAAGTTCTGTGCCTCCTTCCATGGTTCTAACCCACAAGGGAGCATATGTTCAATAATATGATGGAAGGACAAGAAACTGCTTGTAACTACAGCATTTTCAAGGCGGACTTCCAAACGGGTCTCTCTAACTCTCTGCTCTGTGCATCCAGAGATGGGAATGGCAAATCTTTTACCTGATTATTGAGTTGTCTCTGTCATTTTCACATTAGCCAAAATCAGCTTTCTAAGTTTTTACTTACATTTAGACTAAACAGAGTAAAAAAAAAAAAAAAAAAAATCATCTATGAGGAAATTTGGGAAATGACTTCACACTGATTTGTTATTCTTAGCCATACAGTCCCCCCCCCAAAAAAAGGGGTGGATCCTTAAGCCACAGTAGCAGAAAAACAGGATAGGGAGCAATAATTTTCTTGTCTGTGTGGCACAAGACCAGAGCTACAGCACCACATGTAACTCACCATCTATCCATTCCCAGGAACATTTCCTGGGCTTCAGTGGATCTTCTTAGAAGCAGTACTTTGCAACTAGTATTGTATCCTTCCTTCCTTTAGGGTAAGAACAGGGTAGAATTGGGAGACTAGAAACAAGATAAGTATAGGGTAAACAAAATGAACTAGGAGGAAAACCAAAGTGGGCTGGAATCTCAGCTCCACTGCTCTTTGTAGATGGAAATAGATACTTACTGAGCACATACTCTGTATTGGAAACTTCTATTAAAACTATTCAGTTGTTTATATGTAGGAGGAGACTAAGAAACAAATTATACACAAAATAGCAAATTAGCTGATACACAGCAATAAAGAGAGCACCTGGATGAACTGCTTCAGAACAACCAAGAAGACAGAGGTTTTTTAATAGAGTTTTGTTTTATATATGATTCATGGGACTTTGTTGAACTTTGGATTCAGTGACTACTGTAAACTTTGCATATGTCCTCTGCATCTGGCATGTGCTCTGGCCTCCTCTCAACCTAAAACAGTTTGCATCACATCAGTTTTGAAACTATGAAAATCAGGGTGTCAGTTCTGTTTTCCAGAAGATGAAGATGTCAGAGTTGTTTCTGAGTCATGTGCTGTGGTCACATAGGAAGGAGAGACAACAACTCTGTCTGTGGTTTTACTCAATGAATTTTGGAGAAATTACCGAAGTGGTGTCCATTATTAGGCAGCATAAGCAATAGTCAGAAAATAAATGTTTCTAACTCGGCCTTCCATTGCTATCTGTCTTTCTCTGTGATCCAGGAGGAAAGATGCTGGCTTCTTATCCTACAAAGATCATCTGCCAGTGAGCCAGGTGGTGGTTGGAGATACTGACCGGCAAGGTTCAGAAGCCAAACTGAGCGTGGGTCCCCTGCGCTGCCAAGGAGACAGTAAGTTTGCCCACTAGCTGTGGGTTACACTTTATCACATTTAAATAGAATTTCTGTGATTCTCAGAGGATGCCAGAAAGCAGCCTTGCTCTTCTGTAGCTCCTACAGAAGCAGGACGTAACTAACAGAAGCAAGTAGAATCTAATGGACTCTAGATAGGCCTTTTTTAATAAAAGTGGGCAGCAGGTATAAACTCTCCAGTACAAGAGCCTAAGTCAGACATAAAATGTGGATATCCATCTTCCTTGTATATTCATACATAACAAGTTTGAATATCTAAATTTATGATAATATAAATAGTGATGCTAATAGCCTAAAAGCAGCACTCAACAGCTGGGATTCCACTGAGGGCTGCTGTTAATGCCATTAGCATGACTATTTATATCACCATAAACTGAGTTTATGGTGATATAAATAGTAGCATTATGGCTTAATGTATCATTGTAAACTTGGATTATGGCCATATAAAGTTTGACATTACTGCTATCAAACTTCATCATCATCAAAGTTTGATGGTCCTTTGAAAGCCAGAGATTGTTTTCTGTGACTACATCTTGCTTTCAGGATCAGGCACCGCAGAAAATTATTTGGGGCTGCGAGCTCGGACAGTGGGAGGTGAGGGAGTCAGAGTGCTGGTCCCACCTAATTAAGGGCACCATTAGGATTTTATGTTGTTTGATACCCTTCGGTGTGCTTTATGTGCAGTGGGAAACAGTGACAGGTTGCTATGGAGATTCTGAAAAGAGCATCCTGAGTATCATTTTCCCTCTCTTCTGTGCGCACGTGATTTGGGCAGCTCTCTGGGGAGTTCTATGCTTTTCAACTGTGTATTTGGAATCAAGAGACCTAGATTCTCCTCCTTGAATAACTGGCTTGCTCAGAGACCTCAGGCAAGCTTCTCCATTTTCTCAACTGTGGTAATGAGAGCACCACCTACCTTCAATACCTCCTGGAGAAGCCATAAAGATTTTAGTGCCTGGCTTTAGATTCCTCCTAGCAAAGCATTATGTGAGATGGAATATTTTTTACTACTTCCTTAAATCAATAGAGAATCAGACCTGCTGGATAATAAATAATGGCATCCCCTCACAGTGGTGTCCTAAGGAATATAACCGTGCATGTTCAACAGCCTACTACTTAGTAAACTGAGACTGTCAGTGACTAAGCAATTAGATGATCCTGAGACAAAACAGAGGTGGAATTTGTACTAAGTTTTCTCTTCTTACCTTGAGAAAATGAAAACATGGCTTTTTGACAAGTCTCATAAAATTGAAAGTGGTCAAAAAGATCTTCACCACACATTCCTTGAATAAAAAGACTTCATTTGTCTGGTTGGGCTTAATAGAATTGTGCTGTAATAAATTTAATATCAACAGCTGAAGAAAAAGACATTGATATAAAAATAAAAATCAATATGTGTTTTTAAACAAGTGTTAATAGATGGACTATAGTGTTCTCTAAGTTAGACAGGCTCTCATGTGTTGTAGAATGAAAATCAGTTGTGTTATGTCAAAATTACTTATCAGTATATAAAGATAAAATATTTCTGGCTTGTCAATTCTAATTTGATAGTCAGCTTCAAATTAAAGAAAGGGTTCTCACTGAATAATTAATATACTTACAAAAACCCCACTTCTGCAACTTCTGCGCCTCCTCTTAATGAGAAGATTCCAGCAACATCAAATGGTATATGCTGGAGAATGTCATTTCTAGTAATATTAGGTTGTTTTTTCTTAATCAACAAATCAGTCTTCAGGAATTTATTGTAAGTCTGTCATTTGTCTATCACTCTGCTAGGGACTCTGAGAAATAACAAAAAGAAGCTCAAGCCATGTTTGAGAAATACAAGTGAAAAAAAATATTGGAAAACACAAAGTGTTTTACAATTCAATATTAAATTTCCTGATTTAAAAGTTACAGCAACTGATGCTCAAGAAAGGAATGATAAAAAGGGTATTATGTGTAAATTTTAATTTTAAAAAGAGAAAACAGAAGAAGCATATCATTAATATTCACTTGCATTCAATTGCAAGGCTGTTGTTTTAGAAATATTAGGATCCATGAATAAAGCAAATTGCTCCCTCCTTCATGAACATAGCACAGTCTCAAAATAGAGTTCTGTGGCTCCAAAGACACTCTTTTAAATTATATTTTACCTGACACTTTCCTAAAACACAAGCACAGTCAATATTGCAGCTATGCAGAATATTTTTGCCTATGAGGAATTTTGCATAGCTACTTTTTCCCAGGCAACAGAGCTCAAACATTGTATCTGACCTTGAGCTTCCAGGTGGCAGCTTGCAGATCCAAGTTCCCTTTAGGAAAGTTCTTACCCCGCACAGTAACCATATTCCACATCAACAGTATTTTCCAGTTTTCACACAGGTCTGATCTCCTTGGTCACCCACAGCCTTGAGCAAGGTGGGTAAGGAAAATATTAGCATTTCTGTTGCACACATGAACAAAATGCTTCTTTGAAAATGGCATTTACATAACAAATTTCTGAGCACCCTGACAGCCTCCCAGAGGGAAGATGGAACAGAACATAGAAGCACAAAGTCAATGTTGTTTCCCTGACTCCATCTCCTTGCCTCCTTCAATGGCTGATTAAATTTAAAAATTTTAGGAATATTCTACTTGGGTCTCATCCCACCCCAAACCCAACCCATCGTGTCAGGTACACAGCGTGCATGCTGGGGGATTAAATCTGTGTAATTTAAAAAGTGGTAGAGCGCATTCACCCTGTTGTTTATAGAGATTAACTTGCTCTGTATCCCTTACTGAAGTCTGCTCAGAGCTACAGTCCAGAAAAACCAATTCCATTGTTGAAAAGATGTCTCCTCTTCTGTTTGAGGGGCTGCGTGATGACAGGTCTCAGAGGCTGTCTCGGGAACAAGGCCCAGTTTTATCCCTTGGTTGCAGAGAATGAAACCATTCTTGTGGGCTCTGCCCAACCGTTGCAGTGGTTTCGGTTGATTTCATCATGCCTGCTGAGTCTCATTTTTACTTTGATTCATCTCAACTCATAGACCCATATAATCAAAATGCTAAAGAAAATCAGCGAGTTCCACTCAAAGCTGCTGAATTTCCTATATAGTACTGTAAAATGCTTATGCCCTTATGATTTTTTTTCCAAACACATCCAAATGGGAACCTCAAATATAAGTGAAACTGAAGTGTGACTGCTGATGGATGCTATGCTAAGATAAAAATTGCAGGAAAAGTGCAAGCCCCCCCCCATCACATAGTCCCACCTAGGAAGAAACAAATGAGCTATTTAGAGAATCCCAAATCAGTAATAGGGTAGACACTGTTTTCTAATTTAGACAGGTGATCATTTTTGGAAAGAGTTGCTAAATTTTCATGAAACAAAAGCTTTAAGGTTTTGGGGATAGAACGTTCATCCCTACTATATGTAGCAACTATAATTAATTGTAGGAATATGGTATTTGTAATTGGGTAATTTTTTTTTTCTCAGTTGTCTAAAGTAAAGATTTACTACATCGCCTCTAGGGATACAGAGACTTTAAACAATTCTTTAGGAGCAAGTCTGCTGCAACAGTCAGAGTTCTCAGTAGATCTAGGTAGAAGCAATTTAAGATTTCAGAGTCCACGCCAGAAACCGAGAGCTGACAGGCAGAACGCTCGAGTCACAGTGGAGGTTTAAGATGTAAATTCAATTTCTTAGAGCTGCAGAGGTGACTCAGAGGCAAAAGAAAAAGGGCAAAGCAGGGGACGTGTCTAAGTTCAGGGGCGCAGGGAGGGCGGAGCCACAGGCAAGCTGGAAGGAAAGGAAGATGGTGATGGAGTTGGATCCAAACCATGGTGGACATTTGTTCCTTGGAAAAGTAATCACATGTGCCAAAGTAATAGAAATGCCGTGCTCTCTCTACTGCCCAAATTTCACACAGCAGGACCCTAAGCTGTCCTTCCCTTACCGAGGGAGACAACACGGCGCCCCCTCCCCCGCAAGCACAGGCTGTTTCTCCACAAATGAAACATTGCCAATGAGGCACGGAGGAGGTGACTTTCTGTGAATGTCCCTGAGAGAACACACAGGCCACACAAGCTCTGACAGCCACCATGTGCCACCCACTGGGGCAGCATGTGAGGACAGGACCAGGAGAAGGAGAAACAGGTCTCCATGGGCACTGGAAGTGGTTTCAGTATGAACAGGCAGGAGCTCCCAGGCCCCAAGGAGAAAGTTTGTTTATCTCCTTTTTACTGTGCTGCTTTGAGCTTCAAGAAATAAAAAAGGAAAAGGGCTCCGTGAGCAGGTTCTATCAGATTCACTGGTGTACGATCAGCATAGAGAACGACTTTCTCTCTTCGCTCTCCCTCCCTAGCCCGGCCATGAACTAAGCCCTATGTACCTGGGCTTGGTCTGCACCTGTGTTGCTTTTATAGTTTTTACATCATTGTCATCCTCGACTCAGACTGGTTGTAGAGGCACCAATGACATCACAAATCCCCTGAATGTCTAATTTGATCACTGACTGTCACAGTGTCCTGACAGGATGCTCTAATTCCTCTCCTCTTCCCATTCCTTCCCACTCAACGCAGCTCTGCATATGTGAATCAAAGAAAGTACAGAAAGCACAGCATCCCGAGGTGGGGAAGGTCTCAGAGGTCAGCCGGTGCATACCCCTCATTTTACAGATGAGGCAGCTGCATCTTAGAGATTAAATGACTGGCGCAGGGTCTTGCAGCTGGTTGTGGCACAGCTCAGAGAGATGACTGGACAAAAATCTTCCTCTTCTGTAATTCCCCAGGGCCACGATTTATGCTGAGACCCAAGGAGGAAGCTCAGAATGGCACTCTGTCCTTGGATCCCTTCTATTAACCACTGACCAGTGCCATACTGGGTAATACGGTACTATATCTCCTAATCTGAACTCACCGTGGGGTCAACCATCTGCAAACCTTGACAGAAAACCTGTAATTGGGGGAGAGGAGTCCAGGGTAGACAACTGCCAGCTTCTATTTGCTTGGATAGTTGT